TAAATGAGCTTAAAATGTCGGATTGCCTGTATCGATTTATTTTATGATGTAGACTATTTTTAAAGTATCTTATGTACTTACATTTATAAGTGTAATCAAATTGTCGGAAAAAAATATGTAAATATAGTCTCATCGGGGTATCAGCTTTCTGGCAAGGGCATAAACACTTCTAAATATCAAAAAATTGTGATAATTTTAGAAAACATGTACCTCGATGTTATCTGATATTGCTAAGTTGTGACGGATAAAATTTTCAAGATATCTTTATAGTACGTTGGTTTTTATTTCGGACAATCCATAATATATAAATCCTAATTTAAAAGTAATATTTAAGCAATGTTATTATGCTGTACTTAAATTCAAAAAATAATCCAAATCGTTTTATACACATAAGTAGGTAACTGACATTTTAGAGGTATAAATAATTTTTATCAAAATATCAATTATTAGTAGGTATCTATTTAAGTCTTGGAAAACGATGAGTAAACTATTACAACTCGGAAAATATAAAAATTGTTAAAATCATTACGTATACTAGAATTTTACACTGCCAAAATATTATCACTCAACCGATAGGTACCTACAAAAAGTATACATATTTTTTTAATTAAAAATAAAAATTCTTAAAATATGTTCTCGTTAGAAACGAATTTTTTTTTTTTTATCGAACTATATGAATAAAATTAATATTTGAAAGCGCACTAATTTTGATTAGAAAATCTGACATGCAATGATCTAAAAGTGGTTTTGCTACCTCTGATACAAGTAATTTTTCATGTAGGGACATATTATATGATTTATGCCTACATTATATACGCATTATATCATATATCAATTTGATGAATTACTTATTTAGATTTGGATTTTCCTAACCTAACCTTACTTATTGGTACCACAAGTATCACGGACTTGTGATGATACCTCGTGATTATGTTTGTTTTTATGTGTGATGAAAATGTTAAGAAAGAGGTAGCTCAAAACCCACACTACAATGCGGGGGAATCAGCTTGAGAGTCAAACAGTTATGTTATTCAACCGCTTCAACATTTCAGCACTTAATAGGTTCTGGGTGATTGACCTTGTCACTTGCCACGACACAAAGGTGATAGACAACCTATAGACACCTATATGGGCGATAGACAAAGGGCTGTTATTGGATCAATAATGACGGGTACTGGTTAAGCTTAAGATTCTACGGTGGTTGTTTAGAGCGTATATGTGCATCTGAAACTGGCCCGAAGGGAAGTTTGTTTGGTATACCAACTCAAAGACCACACCAGCCTGCAACCAGGTGTAAAATGTTTTCAACAAAAACAACAAAAAACAATTTTCTATAGAAAATTAAGTAAATATGCGATCGACTTCATATCCATCAAACTACATAGGGATCAAATAATTATTGTTGATCTCTATCAGGTAACCATTTTCGGTTTATTATCAAGTCAGTAGTTTTTTGGGATATTAAAATATCAATTTTCTGTTAGAGTCAAATTTTGAAAGGATTTTAGTGAATATAAAATGTGTAATGTTCGTATGATTTTGACAATACAAAATTGTATTTTAAATATTAAACGACTTAAACAAAATAGTATTATGTTGGCCACATGTTCATGATGTACGTTTATTATAAGGTAATCTAGCAATAAACAAATAATAAATACATACAACGCGTATAAAACACGATTATAACATCATAACTATATTTTTATTCAACAGTGTTCACTTTAGTTAAATAAAATAATATAATGCCATCAAACATTATATTAAAAACATCATCTTTTATTTTAGGGGTGGTATTAGGTAGCATGTTGAGTTCAATGATGAAGAGAATATAAATAGCATTAGCTGAAAAAGTGCGAATAACCCGTCAAATCCAGCGATACCAAATCATTCCTCGAAACCAACTCAACAAAATACTAAAAAAGTGACCTGGAGTTAATAGTGAAATAGCATAATAGGTAGGACTGAAAAAAACAACATTTCTATATAGAAATTATTAATAAAAATAAAAATAAAATGCTATTCGTTACCATCTTTAGACCTTGTCACGGCACACTGGTGAAATACAACCTATATAGCCACCTAAGTAGACATATGGACGATTGACAATATACTGTTATCGAAGAGATAATGGCATGCAAAGATAAATCAGATGTAAAATTTGCGATGCTGAGGCGGCCGTGTAAAACTTATGAATGTATCTGAAGCTGGCTGAAGAGAACTTTGTTTGGCAGACTGACTCAAAAACAACACCATTCTGCATTTCTTACCAATGTTTTATAATATAACCACAAGCAACAACCTCCTATTCCTGAAGAAAATTAAAGGATAATGGGATCGACTCATTATCTATCGCACTATAAATATACATTTTATGCTTCAATCTCAATTCCTAGATAATTAAAACAAAAAATGTTGCTTTTCAACAATTAAATATTATGTTCATCTTTTGTTATATTGTATAGAATATTTCTGAAATATTCATTGATGAAATAATAAATATTATACTTATTGTAGTCGGTTAAATGCAGTGTTAATTGTTGAAGTTTGGCTATCCTCTATAGTAGAAAACTTAGAAATTGAATGCTCAAAACATTTTATTCGTGTAAATGCACGATACAAAAATGTTCCATAGATGTTCACTCAAATATTTACAATCCACACAAAGAATAACAATCTTTACTTTACTACCATTATGTACACACTTTTCAGTTATTAGTCGATGAATGTATTAAGGTTTATTTAATTTTTAAATTAAAATTTATGTATGCAAATTTTGAAAATGAATTTCATTAAGTCACTCTTTCCACATGACTGGAAATTATTAATTAAAGTTGTAGGTTTCATTTTCTACAAATCTGGTGGAGAAAAATACAAACTTTAAGACTTAGTAATGAGTATAAGAAAAATTCTGAACTTAAAATATTTTTTAGGATTAGGTACTATTATTAAGATTAGACGAAGTTGATGATTGTTTTCTAGAATTATATATATTCAACCAAATTATCAACAAATACAAGAATTTATGGATTATATAAATAAATATAATAAATATATTGACTCGGAAGCAGTTCCCCTTAATATTTGGTCAAATTTCAAACCATAAACAAAGAGAATAATGAATGACTCGAATCATTTCAGGCTCAGTTAAATTCAAATTTTTAATCAGCGGAGCCTAACTTACATCAATTTCTTAAAGTCTTTATAACTGTAAAATCGATAATTACATAATTATAAAAATAAGAAGTGGGCAGAACAAAAGTAAAATAATTTTATTGAAAAAAAATTGTATTGAAAAAAAAATTATGGAATAATTGACAGGTAAAATAAATATATTTTTAGTTTATACAACTCTTTATTTTAAATTTGTACAAACCATGTGAATTGTTTAATATTTTTTTTGACATTTTACATAATCAGCGAGTTCTTTTATTCCATAATTATGCATAGTGTATTATAAACTTAAAAAAAAATTTTTAATCGTACCTGTGTTCTAATTTATGTACCACTGACAGTCCTGTAAATATGAGAAGGAAAATGTTTTTTTGCATTTAACTAATTCTTAACTAGAGTAAAACACAACTAGTGTACTACCTAAAAAAATCGTATACCTTACTAGATTAACTGACTCTATTTCCTGCCGTATTTCTAGTCAATACATTTTCATGATATTAAGCCATGCAATTTCTGTCAGAATCAAATCTTGAACTGATTTTCTGAACCTTTGACGAATTTCCTGTATACTAAGTGTTTTTTATTATTCAAAATTGTATTTTAAACATTAAACGATGCTGTTATCAAAATAGTATTGTATTGGCCAATTGTTTATAATGATTGTTTATTATAAAGTTATCAAGCAATAAACAACAAATAAATAAATATAACACGTAGTCTTTTATCACTATTTATTTGTTATAAATTCAATTCAGCAATATGATCGTCATCCGGTGGACGATGCAATAATATTGAGTCTGTTAGCATAATAATAATGACGGCCCGACCTATTCAGATTGGTGGAGGCCTGATAACAGGATTCATTTTGGGTTATATGGCACGGGGACAGAGTAAAAGGTACAAACAAAGGTCGCCGAATAGAAAAAAGATACCGAAAACTACAAATCCAACGGCAAACCCAACCACGGCGACGCCGAGGAAATTACCGTCAGCATCACCAAAACCGATGAAATCTTCAAAATCGTGAAATCACCACACAATAGTGTATATTGAAATATATGACTTTTACATAACAAAAATATATTGCTGAAAATAAAAAATATTTGCAATAATAAACAAGTTGTGATTAGCTATTACTTATAAGAAATTACTAAATAATCAATTATTCATAAGCCTAAGTATAGGCGGTAACACAACACAGTTTGCATCGATCAAAAGCCGAATCATCGTGAATATCGTAATGCAAAATATCTACTGTTACAGCTCGTTGTGAAGTGCACCAGTTATTTAATTCGATCTATTAACATAATATAAGAGTGTTCGTTACAGTACAGCAAAAGGACGTCACGGCCATGGACAGTTTAAACGATTAAACGTGTTATTGTTTGAGCGAAGTAATGATGTGGAAAGGATTTTTCGTACGTGACAATACTGGAAAACGTGAGGGATTCGGAAAACGGATTAGAGAGATGGTAAATCGGAGTAAATTCAGATTTAACGCGATGTTCCCACATAAATTATTGACATTTTATTTACACACACCGTCATTGAAAATAAACACACCAAATCAAACCAGAACGTTCTCGGTTACTTAAATGTAATACCTGACATAATATTTATGGTTATAACCTATCTATATTGTAGTGAAACGTGAGTTTGTTTAATTTTTTTTTCTCCAAGAAACACTTTTTTTTTACGGTCTGTCGTTTAAATCCATACCACGACGTAATAAATCTGACGAAAACACTTTTTACCTACGATTATGAAATATTCATAGAAAAAAAAACTATTCTACGAATATATTATTATAATGGTCATAGTCTTACCTGGTATGATCGTTTGTAGAAAAATCCCGGCCGCCAAAATTGATGGTAACATAGCCATAGACGAAATCATCAGAAATTATCTAAAACAAAAACGTCATAATAATTTTACAATATTTTATTATATTAAATAATAGTATGTTACGTGAAGGAATCAATTAATTAATATGACTAACTGTACTAATTAGATAATTTTACTAATTTTTGTGCGTTATTGCTTTTTACAATGTCTTGGAATCAACAATATGGGTAAACGAAGCATTTTTACAAAAATAAGTAGTAGAAGTTAATAAATATGTAGCCTGATTCGGTCTCATCGTATTCCAGGTACTGTGTACGTATAAAAATGATTAAAGATTTTGATTTAAAATTTTATAATTGACTATGAGTTAAGCATTATTTTTAATTTAAATTATTTTTAGTCATTTGATTTCTATATTAAGATCAGTAGCATGACATAAAATATGAATTTACTCTAAAATAATTCTTGAATTAATGTGATTTTTAAAATGTTTTCTGAAATTATTATTAAGCCATTTTACAGATGGTGATAATATACAATAATAGTTTTATAACCTTTGTTAAATTGTCAATAATATTTTTTTTTTTCAGATAACAATATCCTGCGTATAAGACTTGAAATCCTGCAGTCTTGCAAATATATTTTTTTTTAATTTTATAAACCCTTTTTTTTTTGTTCAAAACTTGTTTAAATCTTTAAAGAAAACAATAACATTGTATAAGTGCATTACTTTGAATTTATAGGTCGTAAAAGCCCTGAGGTTTCGTCAAATTTATTTTTACGAAATATTTCATTTTGATGAAAAATAAAATGTCAGAAAATAGCATTTTTTATTACGTCGTACGCGTTATAATATAAATTACATGATCATATTATCTATCTTATATATATATATGTGTTCTCTACATCCTGATCAGGAATATAATATTGATTATCACTAATCAGGTATGAAATCGGTCTGACCATCCAGTCATGATTTCATGTGACATACTAAAAAGAACAAAACTTGAGTATTTCATCCTCAGAACACTAATGATATTATAAAACACGATTTTTCGTAGTCGTGCGCATTGAGCGTATTTCCGTGCAGCACACCGACCATAGACTATAATATAAGGGTCCTATGGACTAGGATAATGTATTTTATTGAGGCATTTTGGAGAAAAAAATTCAACACTTTTCGAAGTAAGGCGGTACACATACATAGGTAATAATATTATACGCACACACGCACGCGGTGTGTAAGTCATTTTTATCCACCCGATAAAAAAATTGTTATATTTTACGAGAAATATTTGATATGTATACCTTGCGACGCACAGCCATACGCCTACACATTACATGTGCACATGTAAAATGTACATGTTATGTTTGTCTGCGTATGCCCAGCCCATTTTTACCGAGTGTCGGGGCATCGAGGGGCGAGGTCCTCCTCCGGTCGGGGGTTTCTCGGTAAAAAATAAATAAAAATAAAACACGCGTCTCGGGACGTCGTAAAATTGAAAACGAGACATAATACGAAAAATGGTGGGCGGGGGCGTTGGTACAGAACAGGAAATAATAAGACGTACGTCTTGCTTTTGTTTTTTCCTCTACACACACACACACACACACACACACACACACACACACACACACACACACACACACACACACACATATATATATATATATATATTTCGTATTCGCCTGCCTACGCGCGTGGTACGTACGCACTAATAATATATAATAATAATATAATATACCAGTACGAGCACACTGCGATCGAGCCACGTCCCCGCTGCAGGATCGAAGGGATGCAACTCGACTTGGTGTACGTGCGCGGCCAGGTGGGGGGGGGTAAGTATATTATATTACTATCATATTATTACTTGCGTAAAAAACGATAATATCATTGTTGTTGTTGTTGTTGTTGGTTGTTGTTATTATTATTATTATGACGAGAGAGCGTTATGTGCGTCGTGTAATAATAATATATTACGAGGTATGCCGTCGTGCGCCGGTTGCACCTCCCACGCCGTTTCCCCAAATCGTAAGTAATCACTTTAATTATTGCTGTACGTATGGTGTAATATAATTTGAGTGAGTGTGTGTGTGTGTGTGCGTGTGTATGTTTTGCATTGTCAGCCTTCGCGAGAGAGTGACACGCCGGGCGCAAAATCCACTTTGTCTCATATTATGTATATTATATATTATACATCATACGCAATAAAATACCCACCAACTGTACCTACCCAGAGGTACACGTACATCTTGATAACACAACGCGTTACTTTCGACGAAAAAAGTCATTTATAATGATTTATTTTGTCGGTCCTTTCGACTCACGAGATGTGTGCTGATGATAATAATAATAATAATAATATGTACCTATCTATAATACCTGTAGACGAAAGAGAAAAAAATGAACGAAACACAACCACCACCGCCACCACCACCACTTATATATGATACCTACCCATAGGTACGAACGACTTACGCCTAACCCTCGGCGACAAAAAAAAAACAAAAAAAAAACAACAAAATATTAGAATCTTGGAAATTACGACAAATGCGCATACGTACACTTGCGTGTCCGTTGAACTATATATTATGCAAGATAAATCTATCACGAGTGTACGTATATTATATGCGTGTACCTACAATACACACATATATATATATATATATATGTATTATTATTAGGTAATGTGTACGACTACAGCGCATTACACGTCTGCGAGTGTGTGTGTGTGTGGGTGTGTGGGTGGGCGGTGTGTGTTGTGCGCCGTGTGCAATTGCAACCGTCTAATAACGAAATCCCGGGGGGGCAATGTAACGAAAACCGAGGGAGGAAAGCAAACACGCCGAGATCAAATAATGTATATATCTTCGCCACACTTGAAAAGAACAATTTATACTCCACGTCTCCGCCGCCGCGTTATGACATATTGCCAGCTATCGGATGATATTACTGCCGCAGCGTCGTTCTTTTGTTTCGTTTTCGCCGCCGTCGTTGTTATTATTATTACTATTATTGTTGTTATTATTATTATTTTCTACACTATTTTTTAAAGTCAAATCTGATACGTGTATCTTTTTTTACCCGGACGGTTTAACGTTTGAGACGTATCTCAACATATCATACACGCTCGCAGTTTGACGTTTAAGCAACAATATATATAACAACCATCGCCCCCCCCCCCCCTCCCCACACATACAGATGCGGTGAAATACGTCTCGGCTATTATTATTATTATTATTATTATTATTATTATGGACCGTGCGAACGCCGAACAATGCAATGAAATAATAACAATAATATATCGTAAAATAATCACAGTAAGACGTACCCATAAGAGGTATATTATTATGCTCTCAGCTTTTGATAACGCTTCAAATGTATAATTATGGTCGAAACCAAATTATAAGATTTTGTAATTATTTTATAAGCCAGCTGGCTTTAAATACATAATTTTATGGTTTGACGATGGATAACTCTTATAACATATTTATTTATGTCATTAATTATTGGTTCACCGCTTATATTATGTAAATATGTCCAGGGGCGAAATTTACTATCCGGTTCTGAGAGTACGTACCATCATCTAAGAACGAATTCAATTTTTACCAACTCTGATTTGGTCGTCTAATTTTGCTGTGCGATCGTTAATATCTATAATATTTTTTTTTTAAACAATGGAAAAACAAATTTAATGTGCTACATACAATTCTCGATAATTATTAATAACTACAAATTAAGCAATGTATAGAATGTACATTTCCCAGTCGCATAATTATACGGTAAATTGGATTATTCCTACACTCATCATTATTGTGTTCTAAAAAGGAATGATAAAATGAAATAATTATGATCTGTAGAGGAACGATCAGGGACCAAAAGAAAATTCTGCTGTGTACTTATATTGCTTAGTTTATCATCAAACATATTGTCAAAAAATACTGATTAAAAAATTGTCGACGATTAAAAATAACCTAACCTAACCTAACCTCACCGTATAACATATTTTGTTGGACATCGATACGACGACCTAAAAGTATTGCCATTAATCGTAAATATTACGTGTCGATTCAGGAGTAAAACCATTCATCCGACGCGGATAACGGACGGACGAAAATATAATCATAACGTATACAATGAAAGAGCAGTAAACAGTCTAAGTAAATTAATAACGTAAACACCTGAACACGTCGAATAACAATGGATTGTAGTGTGAACGAAATTCGTTATGATAATAAGCGGCTTACGAACATTAAGCCTACCATCACAGCAGTGGACCGCAAATGTTGGATTATTTTTTAAGCATTCAATTAAAACGCCGAAGAAACTATATTATGATAATAGTGTGTATTACCATACACTTCCGCTGAATTCGGTAACGCTCAGGTCACCAGATACCGGGCGGTATAATCTGATAAAGGTCGCGGTAATAAGCTGAGCTCTTGTTTTGCACTCCGATATAATAATAATAATAATAATAATAATAACACTATAATACGCCTATATACGCGTAACTATGACATTGTCGCAAACGAGATACTTAGGAAAATAAAATGCGACGAAATATCGTAAAACGCACAGACCGCAAAAAAGGTAAAATTAAACCGAGTGTACGCACACTCATATTATTATACATTATTGTATGTATATATATTTAGGTTCAGTTCGTAACCACACAATAACACTCGAGCGGAGTACACAAGAGTGTGTCCGCTATTGAAAGGTTTCAGTAAACAAAAGTCGTTTCACTATATTTGATGTACATATATAATACACACAATGCACACACAACAGACATTATAATGGTGTTCAAAGTGTATCAAGTGCACTGGATTTCTATATTTCCGCGTGTTTATAAAAATGTTCGTTGACTTAAAATCTAATAAATATCCAGTAAATCCAATGACAAAGAGTCGGTGCTTCTACGTCGTATGATCGTTGTTTATTGGATTCTTTTAGATGGTCATTACCGGCTGTTTCGAGGTGTAACTAGGTAAATGAATCATTACGAGATTTTAAAAATACCTTTACTGTAGTCATAATTATAGCTCCAAAAAAGA